CTAGGAAACTCAGACCTTCTGCAGGGCCGAAGGCTGCAGCTCGTTCTGTTTCGCTTTGATGAAGCCCAAGATCCCGGACATGGCGACCAAAATGCAGGCTATTTTCTGCGTGCAGGTGGCCCACAAACAACTCTTCTTAAGTTTTTTACCCCCACCCAAGAATCAGTTTACCCTTCTTGGCGTTTGTCCCCACCAGTCACCATAGCGATAGGGGATTGGAGCTGACTCGTTACCATGGTTGCCATAGTGACATTTTCTTGTAGTCCTGCTGTTATACCACTGGGAACTGACCCCCCCTATTCCTGTTGCCATGGCAACAGGGCACAACATTGCCCATGATTGGGCAGAGATTTCCGCTACCTCTCTTTCCCAAGGCATCATGGCTATTTTCTACCTTTACCCAGTCAGGGTCCATCAGGCCTAGTTCCCTTGCATAGCATCCAGCACAGCCCCATCTTTCAGCCTTGTCTGGAGTATGTCAACCTGTCCACATCCCTGATGTTTGGGCACATCCTTTAAGAGACTTGAATAGTCACCCTCATTTTACGTTATCAGGGCAATGAAGCTCAGAGGGGCTAAAATCAGTAACGACTGAACCAGTAGGAGAATCTAGATCCACATCCAGAGAATCAGCTTTTATGGGTGAAGCCTCCCCACCACCCTACTCCATCTGAAAAGAGCAGGACCAGACCCTAAGAATCATTGGGGCCTTGCCTAAGACTTCATGGCCTCAGGCCTTCTCTCAGGGAAAAAGGACAGTCCCAGCTGTCCACTGCAGACAATGTAACTATTCAAATAGATGGAGTCCTTTACCTGGCCCTGATTCTCTCCTAGGTAAGAACACCTAAAGAACTCCTGCCCCCAATCCCTCATTCTCCTCACAAACTAATTTTGGGTTGATGTCAGGTCATACCAGGAAGGGGGCTAGGGCATTTTGCCCTCCATTCCCATTCCTATGCTCTCCCCAACAGAAAAAGTAGGACTTAGCTCAAGTTTCCAAACAAGAATTTATTCTTTTTTTCCTAAAAAAAGTACCAGGTACAATTTTTCTTTTTATTTTCTTTTTTTCAAGTTTCAGCAAATGCTTGTTCCCCTCAGCCCAGCCCTAGGAGTCAGGGCTAAGGCTGGGTCAGAGTCTGGAGTGGGGAATGGGGTAGTTGGGAACCACACGATTGAGCTTGAGGGGTGCCCCTCACCCCAGCTGAGGTAGGTGGGTCAGAGTCTGGCCAGATAGGAGGCACCCTGATCCTTAGCCCTGACTCTACCCTCTGAACACCTTCCTCAGTCAGAACCCCAAAGCAAGGAGACACAGGCAGGAGGAGAGGGACAACGAGTCTGGAGCCCTACATGAGGGGTGATTAACCCGTGTGTGTGCATGCATGCACACTTTCTCACACGCACACCACACACATACACGCTGTGCACACAAGCACACCAGTGCACATGCACGCGTGCACACATGCACACACACACATATGTGAGTTGGATTTCAGAGAGGGGTCAGAGGAAGGGGTAGGGGAAGTGAACGGAACAGGGAAGGACAGAGGAAGCTGAGTCTTTGGCTAGTGACTCAGTCCTTCTGGGATCCCCTCTCTGCCCTCAGCTGAGGGAAAGCAGTTCTCTCCCAGCCCCCACATCAGCCTCTTCAATTTCTAAGGCTGCAGCAATATCTGAGAGCAGGAAAGGGGAAGGGGCAATGCCAATGATCAGGTTGGGAGGGGACCAAGGCGATCCAATTTGAATAAATTATAAATTAAAAATAAATAAAATAATAAGTGGCCCCTGCCCAGGACAGGGAGGCAATGCTGGCACGATTTGCCTGGGAACTTGGGACAACCTCAAGGTAGCTCCAGATCCTCCCTGCTATCTAAGCTGGCCTGGGAAATTCAAGGGAAGGCGGAGGCATATGGAGTACCCAGAGTAGGGCAGAGCGTGGTAAGGATCAGAAGCTTTAAATACCCAAATAATTAATTTGGGCATGAGCATGATGAGGGCTTTAATTCAAGCCTGAAAGGTCTCTTGCCACCTTTCCACGTGTTTGCTTTGTCCAGGATGGAGCAGTATGGGGAGGTCCTTGACCCACATGGGTTCAGGGACTGATAATCAGAGCAAAGGTGAATAACGTGGATTGTGAGGGGCCTCAGTCACAGCCTGCAGTTCATAGGGGAGCCCCGTGTCCAGTTCCAGGCTCCGGCGGGAAAAAAGCAGGCGGATGTCTCCATGCAGGCTTAAGCGGCCTGAGCGGGAGCTCCGGAACCTGGGAAAGGCACATTGATCAAGGTGAAAATCAGTGAGAAAGCAAGGAGATGCTACTCAGGGAAGGGGTACCTTGACTGGGGAAAGGATGCACTGGTCTCCCCAGCTGCCCCTAAATAAGCCCTGTCCTCACCTGAGGTGCAGCAAATAGCAGAGGAGGCGGCGGGTGGGGCTAGCATTTCTCTCCTCACCCACAGGCACCAAAAAGAGGCGATGGCGCAGGAAGGTCATGTGGGCAGCAGGCATGTCCGAGAAGTCAAAGGTCACAAGGAACATCTTCACCACAGTCTGATTGGGGTTAAATAAGGTCTGGGAGCAAGAAGGCAAGGTTGGCAGGGCCTAGGGGCTGTTTTCCTCTCCTCCCTCCCCCCAGTTAGGGAAAACTCACCACTTGGATGGTGCCCACCTTGGGCACGCTGTAACCCTTCCTCCCCAGGGGGTTCAGGTCCACGACGCCCTGGGAAGGCCAAGGAGCCATCAGCCAAGGTGGGGTCTGGGAGAGCCCTGGATACTCATCCATCTTCACAATCTCTCACTCTGGGACCCGGCCCCTGCCCCACACTAGAGCTCTTCCCACCTGGCTCTGATTCTTTCCTAGGTGAGAAGACCTAAAGAACTCCTGTCCTCAACCCTCATCCTCCTCACAAACTAATTTTGGGTTGATGTCAGGTCATACCAGGAAGGGGGCCGGGGCATTTTGCTCAGACACATCAAAAAAGGTGACAGTGACAGGCAGCGTGACATGCTGGGGGCAGTAGGATCCACTAGCTCCAATCTCTGCCGTGAAGCCCTCAATGTGGCCAGATGGTGCAAAGCGTCCTTGTAGTAATGATTCCTAGGTTTGGGGTGGGGAAAGCATATTATGTGAGTGAAGCCACACTCCACCATCCCACTTCCCCCCAAATCTCCCAATCATGGAAACCAAGGGAAACTACCTCAAAGTTGCCCAACAGAGTACGGCTGACAGCAGGGGTAGGAACAGGGGAGGCACTAGGAGAGTTCAGCAGGCCTGGCCCCTTCCGAAGGCTTCGAAGGGAGCTCCTGGTAGGCAAAGGGACAAATAGTGGGTTGGCTTGAGGTGTTCTAGGATGCTTGCTCATGTCCTTGGGCTCCACCCTTAGCCACTACCTAGGGCTCCTGCCCTGGGGACCCTACCCTGGGGTTGGACAGAGGATTATAGCCTTTTGCCCCATTTTCAGGCACAGGGCAGAGGGAGAAGCTGGTCACTTACAGCTTTAGGCGACATGCACCTTTCAGCCTCCGCCCCACAGGACTGCAGTCTGTTGGGTCCTGTAGAGAGGAAAGATTAGGGAAGGAGACTAGGTGAAGGCCAGGTATGCTTGGGAGCAGGGCTTATCACAAGCTCTCACAGGAAACTCCCCCTCCCCAACCTCCACCCAAGACCTTCACTTTTTCCCACATAGATAACCAATTAAGAGTAGATCGCCTCTTCTCATGACTTACCAGCACAGGCTCCTTGGGCCCAGGCAGCAGGTGGCTCCAGAAGGGTGTGGCTTTGGCATCAGAACTGTTGGCAGCAGGAGGGTGGCCCAGGGTTCCCCGGCGCCTCCGAGGGGCTGGCCCCTCATCCTCAGAGCTGACATCCAGGGCTTCTCCAGCAGGAAGCAGCCTTCGCTTGGTAGGGCAGGGGCCTGGAGGTCCAGGGCCAGGGGGTGTGTGCTCGGGACTACGCCCATTGGCAGTGCCAGGGGACTCCCTAGGCCAGGGGCTGCCCCGTTTGCCCACCCCAGCCACTGGGCTCTTATCCCCTATTTGTGCAAGACTGTGCAAATCAGTGTCAATTGTGTGCAGCTGGGTTGGAGGGGCTGGCCCTGGGGACTCGCCCAGAGACCCCTGTCCCCCTGGATCTGGGGAAGCCCAGTCTCTGGTGTGCAAAGTATTGCAGGAAGCATTTGATGGGGGCCAAGGGGAACTCTGGGTCCCTGAAGTCCAAGGTGAGGTGGAGCTACCTCCCTGTTCCACAACACAGAGGCCATGATGGCAGAAATGCTGGCTGGCCACACCCAGCCCCAGCCCCAGTCCCTCGAGGCCCAATAGTCCCACAGTAAATGGTTCTTCAGGGGGTAATCCCTCTCTGGTCCCCAGCCCAGGGCCTCTCTTCAGCTCCCGGGGACCCTCAGTAGGTGGGGCCGGCCTTTTCAAGGCCTTATGAGGCTCAGAGGCACCAGCTGGAGGGGAAAAGATGGATACCTGGTAGACCCCGCGGGATGTCGCCCCCCCTGCTGGGCTGTAGCCCATGAGCAGGCCACCCTGTAGAGCCCCCTGCCTGGCTGCAGGCTGCGAAGGGCCAGCCTCTGGCTCTGAGGATGGAGACGGCTCCGCCTGCACGTGGCGCATGAAGCCCCCACTTGGGTCAGGGGGGGCCCCCCCCACAGCCTTTATGCAGGGCCTGGGCTGGGGGGCCTGGGGACATCTGTGCAAAAGAAGAGAAAAAAAAGGTGGTCAGAGGAATCAATGAGTCTTCTCCCTCCCATCTGAGTTTCAGATCCTCCCCTGGCCTGAGGAGGTGACGAGCTTTCGGAGTTCCTGGGAAGAAAAGTTTCCAAATCCCCAGATGGGTTAATGGAATATAGAGACCACTCCTGGAACTTCTGAGAGGGTGGTATGTTTAGCTCAGGTTTCTTACTGGATCTTCTCCCTTTCCTCCTCCCTGGCACTCACCCCGATGAAGAGGCCTTAAGCCTAGTTGTGTGTTCCCTCTTCCTGACTGTTGCCTTGCTCCCTTAGCTTGCAGTCTGGTCCATGCCTGCTGCACTGGCAAGGTGACTGCCACCATTCCGTGCAGCTCCTGGGCTCAGCCAGACCCTGCAGAAAGAGCAACAGACATAAGCCAGGACCCGTGGAGTTAGAGGTAAGGCACCTCTCCAATTGTGGGATAATAAGAGTATACCACTGGACATCTCCTCCTATCTGAGGAGTGCAGAAGGGGCAGTCTTAGGATCCGGGGCCCAGAGGGGTACCTACAGAGTCACAAAAAGGCAGGTCTTGGCCCACGTACTAAGAATGTAAGAAGTAAGCTGAGGCAGAATGACCACTTACAGGGCCATCACCTGGGGAACTCCTGTCCTGAATAGGAGGGGGGATGAGATCCCCCAAGATCCAAGAGACCATGCTAATTGAGAGGATTCCAGGGCAAGAATTACAGCTTTCTAGTCAAGTCACTGAGTTGCACAACTCTTCCCCATATGTCTGTCTCGGGACAAGCGCCACTGCAGAGCCCTAAGAGCAGAGGTCCTGCAGAAACTCATACCCCATCAACACTCCTCAGAGATACAACCTCAGGTCAGCTCAAAGCTACCCTTCAGCCTTAAATTCTCAATTGTTTCCAGAAGTCTGTCCCTTTACCAGGAAACAACAAATCTAACCAAAAACAAGTCTGGTGGGGAGGAGGCACTGCCAGAAGGCGCTTTTCTGTACCTACTTCTCCCCTAGGCCCTGCAAATTAGAGATAAGGCAGTGGCAGCCAAACAACTGGAAGCAGCCAAGAGTACCTCTCCACTCCTCCCCAACACATCCAATACACATAAACTTAAACCACTGCTTTTCTGCCAGGGCACAAGATGGCCTCCACTAACTAGTCCACCCTCAGGAACCCATACTAGTTGAGAGGAATGTCAAGTTGAAGGCCATCTTCTTTCATGGGAGGAAATACGGCCCCCAGGATCAAGCTTCACTTTGAGCAGTAGTCTACGCTGCTTGCTATCTAATGCCTTTCCCCTTCATGGAATGACCCCTGTAAGCCTACCACAGCCCTATCCTTCCTCCTTGGCAAGGCGAAATGCCATCCCTTCTAGAAAGCCTATTCTTGCCATGCCAGACCATAAATATTTCTCTCCTCTGAGACCTCATTTATGACACTGCCATACCTCCTGTAACCCAGTGACAGTTTTGCTTGCTCCTGTGGGTAAGACATCTCCTAGCCTGGCCATAGGGTTCTTGAGGAAGGTTTATACCCCACTCCTCCATCCAACTTCAAACACAGGGGTAAGCACGTAGCAGAGCTCAAAAAGTGGAATGCAAAGCTCAGAGATTTGGACAGCAGCCCTGTCAGTGCAGAGGAGAACTCCCAGAATGAGAGTAGCAGAAAGATTATCTGTATAGGTATAATCATCAACAACAGAGGTGGGGAGGAGGGCAAGGAGAAAGGAGAGATTTGTACCCAGGGACTAAAAAGCTCTCCTACATCAAGTTCCCCTCATTGCACCCCACACTATCGTATTTCACCAAGTTCTCATTGGAACTGGGATCCATAAGAAAATTCTGGTTCCCTGTGGTAGATAATGTATCTAGAAAGGGCAGAACACCAATGACAGCATTGTCAGAAGGTACAACCTGTACTCATTTCTACCCCTCTTTAGCACTCCCACCTCCAAGTCATCCCAATTGGCCTCTTGAACCCTTGCACTGGGTTAGCTAGGTAAGCCTTACTTGACCCCACCATACCTGGCATCTGTTCATTACACTACAGCCTCCTCAGGTCCCACCTTGTCAATGAGAAACTCTAAGACTCACTTCCCTGCCACTCTGCCAGTCTGGCTCTAGATCATGGCTTCAAGCTGACTCATGGGGCAGGACTGCAGTGGGAAGCAGGGCAGGGTAGACCAAAAACTCACTCTCTGTGCAGGAGGTGGGCAGCAGCTGGCATCAAACAACTGTGCCAGGCTGTGGCTGGTAAGGACTACAGCTCCCAACATGCCAAGAAAGCAAAGCCAGCAAAAACAACAAGTCCCAGAATACCATGAGGTCTGTACCCTCAGACACCTGCTAGGCCTGGGAGGTGAGGGTAGGAGGGTGTTGGTATAGATAGAAGTTCCCAGGCTCACTCTCCCCTTCCCTTTAATATTAAAGATGTCCGTTTCTATCATGATCAAAGAGGGTAGCAGTAAGGAGAATTCCTCTCCATGCGGATTCCACCCTCATCCTATTCAGAGAGAATCGCTGCCAGCTGCTCCATATTTTGTCCCCTTACACATCCACACAAGCTAGTAGGAGTTGTTCCCAAGGACCACCACGGTGAATAGGAAGGCCAGCCTCCGCTCTCTCACCAGTCCTTTGGCCGCTGGCCTAGAACGCTCCACTCTCAGTGAAGAGGGAGCAAATCTCAGCACCTTCTCCAAATTGTGCCTGGCCGACTCACGTCAGCTCCTGGACTCCTTGTTCTGGAAGATCTCCCCACCCACTGCTTAGCGTCCCAGGTCCTTTCTCACCCCTCTTCTCCCCACAACATGGGACAGGCCCCGTTCCCTACTGGAGCTTCAGCGATTTGCTCTTAACCCCTAGCACACACTCACCCCGCTCCCAAATTGGCTCTGCCGCGGCTGCTGCTGCTCCGGGCCCTTCCGTCCCGGTCCCCTCCCCTTGAATCCCCGGTTCTTCCCGACACTGGCCCCCAACCCAGACAAAGAGTGACTCAGGATGAGCCCTGCTCTGCTAGGTTCTTCTCTGTTCAGCTTCGTGTGCAGCACTAGCGGACCTTGGCGTCCACAGCCCCCCAGCCACTGCTGTGCCCCTCCCAGCGACTGTCCCTCCCCGTGGCCGCCCCGGCTCCGCGCAGCCGACTCCACTGCCCCTCTGACTCACAGGCCATTTCCTACCAGCTGATGGGGCGGCCCGCCCCGCCCAGCTCCCCAGCACCCCAGCACCCCCACTGCTGCCGCCACGCCCCCCTCAGACCACACCCGCCACGGGCACCGACAATGTTCATTGGCCTATAGGAGGCCAGCCTCCCACGGCCTCAAGTGTAAGGCACGCTCCCTCCAAGAGACACACGCCAATTGGCCTACAAGGGGAGGGGGCAGGCCTACCCAGGGTCGCCCCGCCCATGTCCTTAACCTCTTACCTGCTGGAGTCCGAAGTAGCTCTCAGCCCGGCCATTTAACCCTTTAAGGCCTCCCACTTCTCTTTCCCCCCAACCCCCACCCCGGCCTTCCTCTTCCAAGGAAGGTTAATAGGACGCCCTAGGGCTTTCATAGCCGCAGTTTGACTGTCTCCAAAGTCAATCTTCTCTTCCCACACCTGACTCCAAACATCCCACTCCCATTCTTCTCTCTCTGCCTTGCAAACCACAGGTCCAGAGATCAGAGGGCCTTCAAAACCCAAGAAGCTTCCTTCATGCCAAAGAAGAAGAAAAACTCCTGAAGTGGGATCTTATCTCCTTCCATAGAAAAATTATATTGTTTTTCTCTCAGTCTATACCGATGATCTTCTGCCTTCGCTAGGAAAGCTCCAAGGGTTTGGAGATACTGATACATTTTAATTCAGGGACCTAAATATCATTCTTTGTTTCTCTGAACTCCGATTCTGAGACCATGCTGCTTCATCCCTTTCGCCAATACTCTGTTCTATTCATAGGTCCCTGTTCAAGTAGGAAGAGCAGCCAGGGAAAGTGGGAGAGGAAGGCTTCTACCCACAGTGGGGGGAAATGTGTCCAACTCTTGTGATGGGGCTCACCCCCATGACTCACAGCTCTCTCAAAACTCCCCACCCTCCCCCTGAGTCACTGGGTCCCAGGCCCAGCCAAATTAAGTGGCAGCAGAACTAGCATTCCTAATTCTTGTCCTGTTCTTTACATAACAAGATTGGAACCCCTTGCAAGGATTAGCATTAAAAGACACTTTTTAGAGGGACAAGTTATGAAAATAGATAGCCCTGTCTACGTTTCCCTTTGCATTTGTTGGCAAGTCAGACAGTTTCCAAACTTAGGAGGCTTTTTCTCCCAGTTTTCCACAGAAGCAGGAGGCAAACATCAGTCAAAAGAGGGAAGAGTCAAACTAAGTTTCTGGAGAATTGGCATCAGCCAAGGCAGGCACCCTGGCTGTCTCCAGAAGAGGGAGAGTCCATTCTACAGTTTAGAGGTCACAAAGCCCCAAGGTCCTTGCCTGTGTTGTGGGCCCCAAAGGCCCTGAGGTGGTCACAGGACAGTAAAGGGCCACCCTCCCCCTACTTCCTCCTTGTGACCTAGACTTAGGAAGAACAAGCAAGGAACAGTTAGTTCCTCTGGGCTCTTTTCTCCTCACCTCACACCAGGGAAGAAACCCTGAAAAAGAACCCAGTTGCTGTGGACTGACATCCTTGGTGGTTCCCTAACGCTAAGGAGTAGGATAAGGAAATTTTCAAAACCTTAAACAAAATTGCACAGTACCAACATAAGAGCCTACTTATCTTAGTAAAACCTTACTGGGAAGACAGTAGGATAGACACAGAACACTATAGGAAAGAACGGATCCCTTGGCGAACTGGCCTTGTTCTTGCTTACTGGCACTAGCATAGGTCTAGGCCTTAAATTACCTGCACAGGTCATGGGGCAATAGTTCAGAAGGAAGGATCAAAGATGTTCTAGTGTGCCCTGGGAAAGCAGCATGGCACAATCAAGAGCCCTTACCTAGTTGTTCTAAACTCTTACACTGCTTTATTTTTTTCACTGCAGTTATCTCCTGACCCATCTCCCTCTCTGTCCAGCACACATACACACACACACACAC